AACAGGATAAATCTAGGAAGGAAGAATAGGCCACGTAGGAGTGAGAATTCCAATCCCCTATGGCTACTTTGCAAACCACGGAATCCATTTTCTTTGCCCCCAGCAGCTGAGGTCAGTGTCAGGAGGGCTCCCGAACGGCAGATGAGGGGCTCCCTGGGCAGCACCTCCTGTACCTCCACGGCTGCTGGCCGCTTGGCCTTGGCTCCCCACCAGCAACACAGAGCCACTGAGAGCCAAGAGAGCACGGCCCGGCCCACACCAACCACAGCAGCCCTCAGGGATGTGCTTCCTCCCAGTTGTCCACACAGGATAAAGAACTGAATGTGAAACTCTCAGGCTGTGAGAAACAATGTGGTCTGGCAAGAAAATCTCGGCAAACCTTGTTGATGCCGAAGAAAATGGGTGTGAAGCGGCTCTCCTGAGAGTGCTTCTTTCCCCTGGGCGATGGGCTTCTTGCAGGCAACCCCAGTGGATCTGTGAGGACTTAGACGAGCTAATGGGCAGTTAGGTCAGGTCCCTGCCGGAATGAGAAAAGGGACAGAGTGCTTTTAAGAGTGGACACAGTGTTTGCTTTTTCCCAGAGGCTGCCTTCAGCAACACTTAGTTTTATCATGAGAGCAGGATAGACAGGATTACCAATTCCAGCCCTCTGATATGGTAGAATGTGAAGGCCATGCCAACGTGGTCGCTGACAAGCGTCAGTTATTCAGGAATGGCTTCAGAAACCACCTGGCAATGGAGGCTGCCTGGCAATAGGCTGTGATTGGTTAGGGCATAAACCGCCCCTTGACTGGATTGGCTGCCTCGGCTATATAAGCTGCTGTACCAACTGAAATAAACGAGTCTGCAGGCTGCTCACCTCTGGCCCGCTTTCACCCAACTCCCAGGGTCTATGTGGTGACTCCACGCCTCTTGCCCCCACCATGCTCCTCCTCTCAAAACGAATCCACAGCAACACTCTGATGCGTTTTTATCCCTGCCTCTGGTTGTTATCCCAGCCCTCTGATTGGTTAAATTTAGGTAGCCACTTTTGTGCATAAAAAAGAGCCAGCACCCACAAGCGTCCCAGGCAATGCCTCTTGGAGCCCCCATCCTGACTTGCTTGGGCAGGAGGTTTCTCACTTCAATAAATCTTGCTTGGCTCACTGTCCCTGTCCACATGGCAATTCCTCAGTGTGAGGCAAGAACCAAGATGGCCTTCACCCTCCCACAAGAGAACAAGTGTGTTCCTTTTCCAAGCAGGAAGCGGCCAGGGATGACTCTGGAAGAGAAACAGGACTGAACTCCAGCTCTCTTTGTTCCTGGCAGATCTTCCAATGGCAGTGAATTTTTAACCCAGTCCAAGCCCCAGGTGTTCCAACTGCAGGAAGAGGTCAGCTAGCTGAATGATGACTCTGGGCAGAGACAGAGAATCAGGACTGATCTCAGTGCCGTGAGAAAAAGACAAAGATGGGCCAAGAAGGGGCAAAAGTGAAAACAGTGAGATAATGCAGATGGAAGGGGGTAAAAGAGGAAGAAGACAGCTTCTATCCACCTTGGGACCACAGGTAAGTTTTATCAGAGGTGCTGATTCTTCCTTACTGTTTAATCCTGGTGAGTTAACATTTTATGAACAAGACTTTGCCTTTTGCCTTGGCTGCCACTGTTAAAGTGAATAGGTAGATGTCAGACTATATGTGTAAGAGGTGCCAAAGGAAATGGGAATTGCTGTGTGGTGAAAGGAGGAAAAATGTAGAGGCAAGCCCACAATTACATATCAAAAGTCTTCTCGTTGTTCAATAACCTGATTGAGAGAATCCCAGCCCTCTCTCTGGGGGCAGCTTAGGGCTATCTCATCAGCCCTGCACCAAGGCAGCCATTACGATTCTACACCCGTGAAGCCCTCCACCCAGCTGGACAGCCCAGATAGGTGGGAGGACCTAAATCCAAACCCATACAAGCTCCAGTCTGAATGCAGACTAGGCTCTCGGTTCTTTCCTGAAATGCTCACCTGCTCAGCCAGGTATACCCTCCTCATGAAACTTGGCTTCACTATTCACTCGCCCTTCTGTGTCCACACCTGCACACTGCATCGTCACAAGACATGGAACGTATGAGGCTGGCAGCAATGACCCACTCCCGCTTCACCAGGAAGCTCAGAGCTAAACTCTGGTTCAAATAGAGCAGCTCTCTGTAGGCCAAGGTTTATTCCCCCTGCATTACTGCCGGTCCTTTCTGGAAGTAGTCAGGCAGACTGAGCATTTATGAGTTCCTGGCTGCCCTCCATCCATTCCCCCTTTGGTGACTGAACGTCAAATTCCCTCCAGGAACTACCCTTCCCCTACCCCTAACCTTATGTGGTTGGAGAGAGTGCTCCACCTCCATCTCAGGAATGAGGCATGGAACAGAGGCTTTAGCCAAGCAGTTACGCTATGTCCCTGGCCAGAGCAGTGGTTGGTTTCCAGGTGGGGATATGTGCCAACTGGAGCTAATCAGATGCAAAAAATAGCTTTCCAGGAGTAACGGTTAGAAATTGTTCCACTAGACTTGAAGTTGGAAGGACACGTTTGAAACCACCATAGCTGTACTATGACCATGCACAAAGCATGTGGCTAAAAACACAGCCCAACTGAGAGGGGAAACCTGTGGATGAAAAGAGACATAGAAACCAGCTCTACGTTCATGGAAACCCCAGAACTAGCTGCAGCCCCAAACCCACCTGCCATCAAGCAACAAAGCCCCTGCCAGTTCCAGTGTGATCTGAGTTTGTGTCAGTCACAAGAGAAAGTGTCCCAACTGGCACAGTAGACTAGACAAAATGCTACCCTTTCTCTTCTTTTGCACGAGAATAGCATATGGTTCTGGCAAATACAAAAAAAAAAATACAGGAAAGTTTAAGTAAGAAGCAAAACTCACCTGCAATCCCATTACCTAGTGAAAATGGTAAAATGGATTTACTCTGCCCCAAGCTTACTTTGAAGACAGCAAAAAACACCCGTCCTGAGCATCTTCCAACACATCAGTTGCCCAACACCAAGTGCTCTTCTTGTCTAAGCTTATTTCTGTTTAGCTGGGGAGAGAATTCTTTCAATTTAGGGGTGTTTTTCCACATTCACAAACCACACATCATCTGTACTACTGGAAGGAGGGGGTGTGGTATGGAGTAGACTCTGGGTGTGGCCTGACACCAAGTGCCCTTTTAGCTCAGACTGGCAGCTGAGCGAGTGGTCACTGCCAGTGTCAGAGGAAGAGCCGGCAGCCCAGGGACACCCATCATCTCTCAGCAGCCTCTGTGAGAACGGCATGGAGGCACAGCTGAATCCGCTGAGCTGCAGGGTCCTCACCCACTAGCAGTCTCTGGAGCCCTGGCTGCCAGATTGCTTGGAAACAATAGGATGGAAAGAGTCTGCCGCCTGATTTTCCACAACAGCTCCTAGCATGCTTTCTGGGGCCACCTGCTGCCTGCCTTCCTTCCTCTTTTCTTTTTCTCTTTTTCTCTCTCTTCTTTCCTTCCTTTGCCTTCCTTTCCTTCTTTTTCTTCCTTCTTTCCTTCTTTTCTGGGAGAGACAGAAACAGATATTGGTCCCTTCCTTGGTTCACTCCCAAATGCCTGCAACGACCAACGCAGACTGTGCCAGGCTGAAGCCAAGAGCCAGCGTCCTGGTCTCCTATGTGGGTGGCAGACGCAAGCATTTGGGTCATTTTCTGCTGCCTTCCCATGAGCATCAGCAGGAAGCTGAATCAGAAGTGCAGAGACTCAGATAGGGATATGGCATCCCAAACAATCCCAGACACTCAGATAGGGATATGGCATCCCAAACAATCCCAGACACTCAGATAGGGATATGGCATCCCAAACAATGGCTTAAGGTGCTGCGCCACACTCCCCCACCCCATCGAGTCACATGTCTCTAAGTTCTTTGCATGCAGGATAGTCCCCTCTCTTACAACACTCCCACACCACCCCCACCTCCTTTTAAAGATACTGACTGGTGGACAGCCCTGGCTCAGGGCTGTCCAGATGTTTCCAAGATGTTTCCAGATGTTTCCAATTGCTCTCTGCCTATGCAATTTTTTTTTCAGTTTTCTGTTCAGATTAGATAGCTAAGAGGGACAATGTAAAACAATAGCTACCATTGATCCACTAATTAAAGGCTCACTATTCACCTGCTGTTCCATTCATTCCTTCACTCGCCATTGAGAGTACCATCCAGGATGCTGTTGGGAGCCCTGCAGATGCAGCAAGGAACAAAACTGGAAGGAGATGAGCATGAAATAGAAGCCTACAGTCCATGGGCCGGGCTCTGGGGAAACACCAAGCAGGGTAGGTCTGAAGGGGAGGGTCACTGGGGCCTGTTAGGCTTGAGAGACCTCTCAGACATCCAATCAGAGGAAGCCAGGTGGGACCCGCGGACGTGCATCTGGGGTTCATAGCGGGAGACCAGGCAGGCAATGCCCCTGTGGGAGCCGTGAGGTGTCGGAGATCATACTTGCAGACACTGGATAAGGTCACTAGGCCGTGGCTGGGGCGGGACCTACGTCTGATAGAGACGCCTCCCTGTGCTGCAGCCGAAGCCAGCCGCGGAGCGCGATGCTCGTGGCCAGGCGGGCAGGACGAACTCGGCTGCCTGTGCGCCACCGGAAGTGTCCGGTACAGCGGTGGAAGTGCAGATGAGGAAGACGGGGGAGGAAGCGCTGGGGCGACGGCCGTGACGGCCGAGCGGACAGAGGGCCCGGACAGGCCGTCCCGGGTAACGGCGCGGGGTAGGTCGCCCGCTCCGGGAATGAGGCACTTGGGTCGTAAGCGGCAGCACCCCCTCGGGCTAACAGCCACCTCGCTGCCTCCATTTTTGCCTGGTGACCATCGGACCTGAATAGTTACGGAGTGAGACCCTCCACCAGGTTCTGCTCTTTACCAGAAAAGATGGCGCACACGCTGCTTTCGGTCCCGGACGTGGACCTGGGATTGGGCCCCTTCCCCGCCAAGTCAGCAGCCCTGGGGATTCACACACATCTCTCACCTGGCATGCCGCCGCGGCATGAACTTTTAATTCCTCAGAACGGACGGAAACCAGATTTCGTAAAACGTACACTTCTGGTACACACACACACACACACACTAATAAATTGTTGGAGCACCTTCATTTCACTGTGAGATCGCTGTGATTTCCAGAATCCGAGTTCGGCTCGGGTCGCGCGGCCCCGGAGCAGGAGGCCGGCAGGGGCTTGGCGCCGCTGGCGGGGCGCCGCCACGAGAGGGCGCCCCGGGCCCTCCCTCGCCTGCGCGCTGCGGTGGAAACAAGCCACGCGCAGGGCCCTCACCTTCCCGAAGCGCCTACGCCCTGGCCCGGGATCCAAGAAGCAGAGGGCGCAAAGCTTGCTGTCCGCCCGGTCCCCTTCTTTGGCTGAAGTTAGCCCGCGTCTAACCCTCGTTCTGAAGAGCAGCCCTGATGTAGAATTTTGCCCATGGAGTAAAAAGGGAGGAACATGGTTTTACAAAAAGTGTACCTGACATGATGTTCGCTGATTTTTTAATTTCTTTTGCTTCTCTAACTGGTCCAGTGTCCTATGCCTCAGTTGCCCAGAACCCTATGCCGTGGAGACTGCGTTTCCAAGCATACACGGTACAGTATACAGTACAGCTCACCTATTAGTTCCCTTGTTTCATGGCAATGCACTACAGCGACACACAGTATGACCAGTGTACGGATGCTTTAACCACTGGGGTTGATAAACCCATCCTGATAAACCCAAACATGTGCATGTGTGCACACAAACACCCTGGGGGCAGTGAGGTAGGTGCCTCCATATACGAATATTCACTGTAATTAAACCAACCAACCTAAACTCTTGAAAACTACTTTTTCTTGATTTGGGTATTTGATTACTCCTTAGGCTGCAAGGTATCTAATGATTATCAGAATGGAATGAATGACTTCACTGTAAATTAGTTTGAGCTGACAGTGACTAGTATTTACAATAGCAAACAACACTGTTGCTCAGGGCTCATGTTTACAGGGCTGGTCAGATGTTCCCTGCAGTCGCCTTCCAGTCACTGTGAAGAAGCTAATCCAATTAACTGTTTACCTGGAAGAAGAGTGGCTGTGGCAAAGGCATAAACTGTAATTGAGTAATTGAGAGACATAACCCTTACTACAAGTATTTCATGTTAGTTTGTGCCTAGGACCTGTGTTTTTTTGTTTTGTTTTGTTTTGTTGAAAGGCAGAAAGAAAGAAAGAGATCTCCCATCTGTTGCTGACTCTCAAAAGCCCACAATAGCCAGGGCTGGACCAAGCCAAAGCCAGGAGCTACCATGTGGGCAGCAGGAACACAAGTACTTGAGCCACCATCACCTGCTGCATCCCAAGGTGACATTAACAGGAAGCTGGAATGAGGGCCCATATGGGTCCTGGCATCCCCCAAGTGGCATCTTAACTGCTGCACCCGCCCATGCTTTTCTGTTGTTTCAGGTGTGATAGCCTGATAGGCTTCACTAATAACAGTTTTCATTTAGCTATTATTGAGGTGCCTGACTTGTGCCACAAACCATTCTAGGTGCTGGGACACAGCAGTGAGCAACAGTAAAAAAAAAAAAAAAAAAAAAAAAAAAAAAAAAAAAGCACGGGGTAGGGGGGGCACTGTGGCGCAGCAGGTTAAGGCCCCGGCCTAAAGCGCCGGCATCCCATATGGGCGCCAGTTGGAGACCCAGCTGCTCCACTTCCTATCCAGCTCTCTGCTATGGCCTGGGAAAGCAGTACAAGATGGCCCAAGTCCTTGGGGCCCCCGCACCTGCATGGAAGACCCAGAAGAAGCTCCTGGCTCCCAGCTTCAGGATCGGCACAGCTCCGACCATTACAGCCAGTTGGGGAGTGAACCAGTGGATGGAACACCTCTCTCTCTCTCTGCATAACTCTGACTTTCAAATAAATAAATAAATCTTTAAAAAAAAAAAAAAAGGCTCCAATGGGGCAGGCATTGGTACATTGGTTGACACTGCTCGGGCGCCCACAGCCCCTGCTGGTGTGCATAGTTTCAAGTTCTGGCTCTGCTCTGTAACCCTGCTTCCTGCTCATGTAAATCCTGAGAAGCAGCAGGTGGGAAGTGTTTGGGTCCCTGCCACTCTTGTGGGAAACCCAGATGGAGTCCTAGTCACAGCTATTGTGGGTATTGGGGCAGTGAACCAGAAGAGGGACATCTGTCCATCTACCTGTCTATCTCTTTGCCTCTCAAATAAAAAATAAAAAAATAAAAAAATAAACCACACCTCTTTAAAAAGCACTGCTAGCCTAATGCTTACCTAGGGGCTGCAAAACAATCCAAAAAAAAGTGCATACTGATGATGAGGATGTGTTTATCACTTTTTGTCCTCAAAGCACTGTGATATGGCATGGCCTGTGCTAAGATGGCTCATATTCAAGCCTAGAAGACTACTTAACCCACTTCAATCATGAATTTGATAATCTGTCCTCTGTTAATATCCTGGCTTCTACAACATACAGAAGTCAATGTTAAACCATTTAGAACTATAAAAACATTACACAGATGCTGCTTTACATTTTTTAAAGCAATAACATAATATTTAAAGAGCATAGTATAAGCTGAACTAGAGGAACACTGGCTTACTGATGACTTTTTAAAAAATCTCCCTCAATTTATTTGAAAGACAGTTAGAGAGAGAAAGAAAAAGAGATAACTTTTTGCTGGTTCACTCCCCAAATGGCAACAGTTAGGGCTGGGCCAGGCTGAAGCCAGGAGCCAGGAACTCCGTTCGGGTCTCCAGGGGCCCAAGTACGTGGGCCAACTGCTGCTTTTTCCAGGAGCACTAACAGGGAGCTGGATCAGAAGTGGAACAGCCAGGATTTGAACCTGGTGCTCATATGGGATGCAGATGTCACAGGTGGCAGCTTCACCCGCTGTGCCACAATGCAGGCCCCTTACTGGTGTCAAGACTAGTAAGATTAGGCCAGAACTTTAACAGAAGGCATCATCTACTTTCAGCTGTCATTTACTTCTCTGAAGCAAAATCGCAGGAATCTACCATATTCTAAATATCTTTTACAGGGAGCAAGGCAGTCAGTCCAATATGGACTCCACGAGTTTTAAGTACCTTCCTACCAGGTAGCCTCCCTTGGCAGGTTGCTTTAGGCAGCTCTCTCTGCATTAAATGGCTGGCTTGCCCAACTGTGTTCAAAAGAAACCACTGGGGCCGGCGCCGTAGCTCACTTGGTTAATCCTCCGCCTGCAGCGCTGGCATCCCATATGGGTGCTGGTTCTGTCCCAGTTGCTTCTCTTCCAGTCCAGATCTCTGCTGTGGCCCCGGGAAGGCAGTGGAGGATGGCCCAAGTGCTTGGGCCCTGCACCTGCATGGGAGACCAGGAGGAAGCACCTGGCTCCTGGCTTTGGATTGGCACAGCACTGGCCATAGCGGCCATTTGGGGAGTGAACCAACGGAAGGAAGACCTTTCTCTCTGCTCTCTCTCTCTCTCACAAACTCTGTCAAATAAAATAAATAAATAAGAAACCACTCCTGCAGCCAAGCAGTACTAAGTTGCCCAAGTCTACAGTCATCATGGGAGGTATGGCACACAAGGTCCACGGCCTCTAAGGTGTCTGTGTGTGCATCCCTGCCCAACCTAGGGACACTCCTGCATTTCTCTGGAGGTATGATGAATGTTTCTCTGGAGGTATGATGAATGGGAGATGTACACAGATGAAACAGACACTAGACCTACACTGAAGGAAGAGGTGATGCTGTCTAGGCCAGAATCCATTCCAGCTGCTGACACGACTTCACAGGTCCCCAAGAATTATGACACTTATCTGTCACCTGCGTGCTCTACATGGAGTGATCTTTCCTTTTCCCTAGGATAGATAAAATTACTACTGTTTTTTAAGCAAGTGCACAATTGGCCTTATGCAGAAGTTAGATACGGCAACAGTAAGCACACGTAAATTCTGCAAATTTCCCGCTTGAAGTCAAGAATGTTGAATGTCACTTTCTGTTGGAGAATCGTGTCATAGCACTTCCCTTTCTACCGCCTACTCTCCCGAGATTTGGATGTGGCTCGCAGATGAACACAGGGCCCACTTCAGAATGGGGTCCAACGTGGTTTAGGAAGAGATCTCACCTTTAGCAGACAGTTGAGAGTTATAATGAAAGCATCTGAATGTTGCCTGGTATTGTGTCTGATAAGAAACAAAGGCACAGAAAAATCCTTCAACTCACTGTTCATTCTGTCCTGAAACTTTCCTTTTTAATTAAAACAATCAGCGTAAGGCCTAGCACAGAGAGTCGTTTCTAATTTTTCAGGTATAAGACTATCTCTTCTCTATTTTTTCAAGGACAAGAATATTTTAATTCAGCTCAAGGTAAGAAGACTGCCCAGCCTCCTTGAGTTCACTTCCACCTGTAGTTACAACTTCTCATCAATATGGGAGACAGATACTGAGGATCCAAAGAAAAATAAAACCTACAAACTCATGGTTCTTCCTAACAAGGAAGAAGGTAAATAAGCAAATGATTTCAAAATATCATTTGAATTTTCCTCCTATGTAATGAAGAGGAAGCTAAGCTCAGAAAGTATTTCTAAGTAATGAAGTACCCAAGCAGTTAAATCCCAAGGTCAGACAACCAGTATGAGAGCCAGAATGCAAACCACAGTACCCATTGTTGAGATTACAATCTTTTTTTTTTTTTTTTTTTGACAGACAGTGAGAGACAGAAAGGTCTTCCTTCTGTTGGTTCACCTCCCAAATGGCCACTATGGCCGGCGCTGTGCTGATCCAAAGCCAAGAGCCAGGTGCTTCCTCCTGGTCTCCCATGCGGGTGCAGGGCCCAAGCACTTGGGCCATCCTCCGCTGCCCTTCCTGGGCCACTGCAGAGAGCTGGACTGGAAGAGGAGCAACTGGGACTAGAACCCAGCGCCCATATGGATGCCAGTGCTGCAGGTGAAGGATTAGCCAAGTGAGCCACGGCGCCAGCCCACAATCATTCTTAAATTATTTTATGCAGTAATAATATTAAGTTGAGCTTGCCAGATGTCTGATGTAATGCCTGGAAAGTATTGTATTTTTTCATTAAATTTATTAAGGTCAGGTTATTTTATCTACCATCTTAAAAAAAAAAAAAGCTATTTTCATCTACTTGAAAGAGAGGGAGAGGGAGGTAAGGAGGAAGTAAAGGGAAGGAGAGCTCTTCTATCTGCTGGTTCGCTTGTCTGCTACAGCCAGAGCTGGACAAGGCCAAAGCCAGGAGCCAGGTACAACATCAGGGTCTCCCACACTGGTGGCCTGAGCACTCACGCCATTATCTGCTGACTCCCATGGTATGCATTGAAAGGAAGCTGCATTGGAAGTGAAGTAGCAGGAATGGAAACTGGCACTTCCGATTTGGAATGCCAGTGTCCCAAGAGGCAGTTTAACCCACTGCACCATGTTTGCCCCTGGTTATCTTTGGATGTGTAAGTGAACATAAAAATCAGTCACCTGTGAAAGACAACAAAATCCCAAGTCTTCAAAGTTCTACAGGAGATGCTATCCTGGACTCTGCTGTCTACAGTCCATCAAGCACAAGGTAAAAATAATAAAGCAGAATAATCCTGTCCTTTCAAAGGGCCTGGGAATATAGATTGGTCCACAGAACAATAGCCTCAATGAGCTGTGCAAAATTTACTCTCCCTCATATGACAAATTTTCATGAAGAGTGAAATCAGAATGACTCCCAAATTATGTTTCAAAAACAAAAGGGCGGGGGGGCAATGCTGTGGCGTAGCAGGTAAAGCCACCACCTGCAGTCCTGGAATCCCATATGGGCCCCAGTTCAAGTCCCAGATGCTCTTCTGATCCAGCTCTCTGCTATAACCTAGGAAACCAGAAGATGGCTCAAGTCCTTGGGCCCCTGTACCCACATGGGAGGCCTGGAGGAAGCTCCTGGCTCCTGGCTTAGCATTGGCACAGCTCCAGCCACTGCGGCCATCTGAGGAGTGAACCAGCGGATGGAAGACCTCTCTCTCTGCCTCTCAAATAAATCTTTAAAAACAAAAACAAAAGGGAGCATTTAAGCCAGTGGCTAAGACACCAGTCAATAACCCACATCTCAAATCAGTATTTGGGTTGGATTCTCAGCTCAAATTACCAACTGCAGCTTCCTGCTACTCCAGATTCTGAGACAGGAGTCTCAAGTTAACTGGATTCTACCCACCCACGTGGAACACTTGAATTTAGTTCTCAACTTCTGCCCCAGCCATTGCAAGTAGATGAGGAACAACACAGTGGAAGGCAGCAGTCTAATACTTTTCTTAATCCCAAGGCTCTGTCCATGCTGTTTGTAAAGATTGTATCACTCCTCACAATCATGTGTCTTTTCCTCTTTATTTGCCTTAAGACTCTTGAATTTCATTGTGAAAAATTCTTATCCTTCTTCTGCCCATTAGGCCTTCCATTATTTACTGAGCACTTAACTGTTTTACCCTGGGGATTCTAATGATCAAAGCCATAGTCCTTAGAAATGAGCTAGTAGAGGCCAGTGCCGGGGCTCACTTGGCTAATCCTCTGCCTGCGGCGCCGGCA